TTGTTAATTGTTACTCACTATGTTAAATTTGAAAACCAAGTAGCTGATATTTTTACTAAAAGTGTGGGTCACTCAAGGATGGACTATATTTGTAACAAGATGGAACTTTATAATATATATGCTCCAACATGAGGGGGAGTGTTAGGATTGTTAGAAGTAGTTAACAGGGGTAGTATTGTCTTTTTCATGTTATTCTTTCTCTCTTATATCTACTGTAATTTTCCTGAGGGTATTATAGTCGTTTCAGCCTTGGTAGAATGTTAATACAACCTAGATCGACAGTAAGGAGAAGTGAACAGATTTCTCCTTTCTAGTCTTCCCTCTTTTCTTCTCCTTCTTTTCTCTTTCCCTTCCTTTTCTCTTCCTATCTTCTTCTCTTTCTTTCTTCTATCATTTTCTTCACTTTTTTCTTACTTTATTAAAGTTGGAACAGCCATAAAGTGATTTCTTCAATCTACACACCTTACCTTGCATCTCGTTGCCATATATACTAAGAGGAAGGGGCTTGTATACCTCTTCAGTGATATCACCATTTGGGAGTGCATTCTTAACATCAAACTGATACAAAGTCCAATCAGAGCTAATTGCTTAGGATAAAAAAACTCTCGCCAAAGTCATTTCAACAACTGGAGAAGAACTCTCAATGTAATCTATCCCATATACCTATGTATATCCTTTAGCAACAAAACGAGCCTTACACCTCTCAATTGACCCACCTGCACGATACTTGATAGTGAAAACCCACTTGCACCCAATAGGTTCCTTCCCAACTTACAAGTCAACAATGTCCAAAGTATTGTTTTTATGAAGGACTTCCATTTCAATCCTCATAGCATCCCTCTATTCTAGTGTGGGCCATGTGGCTAAGGCTTTTGAAATAGACATTGGGATGGGTTGAGAGGAAATGGAGGCTAGAAAGGCATAACAGGATGGGGACAACAAATTGTAGGAAAGGTGTTTGGAAATGCAAGGAAGTATACATTTCCTCTTACTTTTTCTCAAAGCAATGGGTAGGTTAAGGTCTGGAAACGAGGGTTCTGGCGGAGGAGGTGATGGACATGTCCTCTCTTCAGTACTTAGAAGTGCCTAAGATTCAACTGGAGGCATGGGATCAACCTGTGTTTGCCTTAGCCTTTGCCTCTGGTACCACTTCTAGAAAATAGGATGAGTGGTAAAAACTAGAGGACTAGCAGGAGGAGGGGGAGGAGAAGGAATGGAAGACCTCAAAGGAGAGAATCCCTCCATAGGAATGGGGGAAACCGTGGAGGGCTCGACAGAAGACTCAACTAGAGTTAAGCAAATGAAGGAATGAAGAAAACAACTCAAGAGATCTTTCCCCCTTAGATGGGCGATTATAAAAAGGAACTGACTCTGTAAATGTGACATCCATGGAAACAAAATGAGTGCCACTAATGGGATCAAAACAACAATACCCATTCTGTGTGGAGGCATAACCAAGGAAGATACACTTCTGAGCCTTGGGGTTAATCTTCTGTCTCTTAGAACTGGGAATGTGGACATAACAAGTGCAACCAAAGACCCACAGAGGAATGGAGAAAATCTCAACACTAGGAAAGAGGACTGCAAAAGGAGATTTTAACGCCAAGACTCGAGAATGCATGCGGTTAATTAGGTAGGTATTTGTTAAAACTGCATCACCCTAAAACTTCACAAGAACATGAGTAGCAAAAAGGATGCTCCTTGCAACTTCCACAATGTCTATTTTTCATCTCCACTACATTTTGTTGTGGAGTGTGGGCACAAGAACTCTGATGAACAACCCCAATCTTCTCAAGATAGGAGGTAAGGTCCTCAAAATATTCCTTAGCATTGTCCGATCGGAATATTTTGATGCGGGTGTTAAACTGAGTATGTGTTCATGGAAATGTTGCACAAGTTTAGGCATTTCAGCACGAGAGCACATAAGGTAAATCCAAGTATATCATGAAAAATCATCAATAAACAGGATGAAATATCTACAACCACTCATACACGGTAAATGGTAAGGCCCCCACACATCAGAGAACAATATTAAAAGGAACAATCAATCTTTTATTACTTGATGGATAAGTGTTTTACAATGCTTTGAGAATTTACAAGACTCACAATTTAGACTTGATAGACTGATTCCTTTAAATAACTCTAGAAACAATTGACTCAATGAAGAAAAAGACAAATGATCCAGACAACTATGACATAACATAATACGACTAGTGGACTTTGAAAAATAGATAGATCTCTTAGGTTGTACTTGGCTCTACTCAGGCATGTCTAATAGATAGATCTCATTCACCTCATGGCCACTTCTAATCACATTTTGAGGTTTCATGTCCTAAAAAACACAATATCAAGGGAAAATGTCACATTGCAATTTAGGGATTTAGTTAGATTACTAATTGAAAGCAAATTGGTATTTTTAGGTACATGAAGAACTGATGATAAGGTTAGGGCATTAGAGGTCTTAATGTCTCCCTTTCCCGTGATAGGGGCAAGAAATCCATTAGCAAGAGATATCTTATCTTGACCAGAAAGGAGTTGGTAAGAGGTAAATAATTGTGCAATACTGGTCATATGGTCAGAAAACACTAGAATCAATTATCCAAGGGGTTTTATGAGTACTTGAGACAGAAGCATGATGTGTAGTGGCACGAATACCCAAGTGAGCATATGTAGAGGAAGGAATAGTCTCTGAAGGAGCTGTAGCGGTGGACTCCAAATGATTGATTATTTAGCCATACTTCTCATACTCAACCTTGGCGGATGCTAGCTGTTCTCCCATTGACTTCTCTCCATCCTGTCCTTGTTTACCTTGTGAGGTGACTACATTTGCATTTTCACCTTTTTCAGTTTCAAACCTTTTTCCACAATTTTTTCTTGAGTTTGGCAGGAATGAGCTTTGGATGTAACTTCCAACAGGTGTCTTTAGTGTGTTTAGGCTTATTGCAGTATTCACAGATAACATCTTTCTTCCCAGTGTTAACCTTCGACTTCATCCTGATACTGGCATAGTGATCAACCTGCGGCTCGACAGACTGAACCTATCTTCTGCTTTCCTCACTGTTCACCATGGTATACGTTTGAGACAAAGTCACCTCATCCTTTGCTAAAACATTCTGCCTCACAATATCATACTTTGAGTTGAATCTGGTGAGGAACTCAAAGATCTGATTTCTCTCCACCAACTTTTTATATGTTTTTTTTTATAGGTAACAGAAAATATTTCATTATATAAACAGGAATGTATAGGAGATAATACAACTAGGGAGTGAGTACCCCTTAAAGCATGTGTAATCATTAAGTCCTATACAATCAGTCCCTACCCAACCCTTACCCCCAGGATCAGATTAACCTTTTATCCTTAAAACAGTTGAGCCTAAAATATTGTCACTCCTCTCAGGTGCCACCTGATTTTCTTTACCAAGTCTTGGTAGATCCAGGCTGCCTTCTTGTCGTTCTTTAGCCAGCTTACTACTACTTGGTAATCTCCTTCTATTAAAAGCCTTCTGAAATTTATTTTTTCTGCTAGTTGGACTACAAACAGTACAGAAGACAGTTCTGCCTTGGTTGAATCTCCTTGGGCAATAGGGCCCGAAAATAGAGCTAAGATAGCCCCCTCTTTATCCCTGAAAACCTCTATATGCCTGAAGGGCCTGGGTTACCAAAGCAACCACTTTTCTTCTTTTTCAAGATTCAAAATGTTTATGAAATAAATGGCCATAGTACCAAACAATCTCATAATTTAGGGGCTGGAATGCATTAGCAAATTCATCAAGATCCAAAACTATAGTTCAAGAAAGTTGGATACTGTCTACACAATAAGGTATAAAGCTGAGTTTTGATGGGAGTTTAGGTAATCTGGGGCCTTCAGGTGTAGGGGGAGCTTTAAAGAGACAGGGATGGTAAAATCTTGTCTCTTTACTTGGGGCCTATAGGGTTGGGTGACTTGTTAAGAGCTGAGGTGTAAGCTCTACTACAAGGATTGAGATTGGCTAAACAAATGGAACTATGTCAGATTGAAGTGGAAGGGGATTCAAGGATAGTAATGGAATGGAGGCAAGATTGAAATCTGGGAATCTGGACCTATAGGCAAGTCATGACAGAAATATGGGATCTTACAAGGGAAATTGATGTAACTTTCAGATGGGTTAGAAGATCCGCCAATGGTTTGTCTGATGGATTAATGAAACAAGGATCAACAAGGGGTGAACTCTTTTGGGCTGTTTTGTAATAGTGGATTACTTTGTGGGGTCAGTACTCCTCTTTGGAGTGTCTGACGTGTAATTATTTTATGAACTACTGAATGAAAGTTATTTCTGATAAAAAAAGGTTTGATAAGGTGGTAAAGAGGGAGTGAGTGGTTGGAAGAATGATGCACAAGCGAACAAACTAAAAGAGGATGCAGTCCAGATTCTACAGTCAGAAGTGGAAGGATCAAGTGAAACAGATCCAAAGAGCTGATTAGGCCTAAGCCTGCAAGAAATTCATGGTCTCTAAGCCCTCTCCTAAAACTTCTTTTTTATTTTATGTTTTCTCTTATACTTGGGATAGGTAAAGCCTACGAATTTTTGTGTACTCTTCAAATTATTTCTTCTTAATAAAGTCCTGATTACCAATCAAAAAAAGGAAAAAAAAAACAAAAACATAAACCTCACTTTTCAGTGAACCCTACTTTTCCTTCTCTTCTGATATGTCTTTTTTTGCTCCTATTTTGAGCTTGCTTAAATTATTTCTTGAAATCCAATCATGCAATAATGGTGTAAGTTTTGCCTATACTGTGAGAAGTAGCACCTCATGCCTTTCCTTGGGGATGATTGTAATGCCTATACTTACTGATTTTTAATAAAATTTCACTTATCAAAAAAAAAAAAATAAATAATGGTGTAAGCTTTGGGGGCCATAGATTTCTTGTTAAATTGTTATCCATGGGTTACCTAAAGAGGTTTTCTGTTTGTTCATATTGCTTCTGCTGTTTCTTCACGCTCATGACTGCTGTTATGTAGTGAACCATATGTTACTGAAGATGAGTTGAAGTTGATGCTGCGAGGGGCAGAGCTGAGTGGAGCAATTGAGGAGGAAGAACAGGTAATAGGATATTGTATATGAATATTGAATTATTTTGCAGACTTGTGTTTGTGGTCCTTGGTTATGTTTTCTGTGAATTTAGCTTCTGAGCCTGACATTGTTTAATAATTATCTGTGTTTTCTTTTTTTATTATTTTTTTCACTTCCACTGTTAATCCTCTCTTTTCTGCATTAGGCTTGCTAATGTCTGGGATCCTTCATTCCACTCCAGTCTCCAATAACTTCCTAACCTCTCTCAAACTACCTTCATTAAAAACTTTGACTCCTCTCTTATCTTTGTCTTCCAATATCCCAAAGAGGGCCCGAGGATGGTTAGTTAAACCTTCCTACAAAAACTTTGTTGATTGTGGATGCTGAAAATAGGGTACTGATGTTGTAAAAGAAAAAAGAAAAAAATGAAGAGTGTTTTTCGCTTTCTGCAACATATCAGATATGACCCTTCCCCAGGTTCAAGGGTAAAATTTTGGGAAGATCTGTGTTGGGGAGAAACAGCCCTTCTGTCTCTCATTCCATAGATTGCATAAATTGTCAGCTTACAAACATAAATCAATAGCACAAATGGCATAGCTTGAAAATGGAAACCTCTCTTGGAATCTAGATTCTAGGGCTGAAAAGGGGTTGAGAAACTGGAGTCTGTGGGAGCCATTAATCTTCTAAACATTTTTAACTGAGTTGTGTTATCTCCAGCTGATGAGGATGAGTGAATATGAGTGTTATGTATGTGACCAAAAGCTTTAAGACTGTTGGAATTTGTCAAGCAAAGCTATTTAACCTTTAGGATTGTAACATAACACTATGTTTTTGTACCCAACATTGGGCAGATCTAACTCCGGTGGCAGGTAGCCCTTTTCCCAACTGCCCTCACTCCAGTGGTAGGTAGCGTTTTCCACAACAGCTCTCACTCTGGCAGCACCTAGCGCTTACCACAATCGCTCTTGCTTTGGCAACAGGTAGCCCTTTCCTTTTGGTAGCTCTCACTTTGCTCCAGGTAGCCCTTTCAATTATGTCTTTCACTCTACTCTAGGTATCTTTCCTGTGACAGAGCTCACTCTGCTCTAGGTAGCCCATCTCTCGTGTAGTGCTTCTCATGATCAAAATATGCAATGTGGTGGTAGGCTTCGATACCAATTCTTATTTGACCAACATACCAATTCTTATTCGATGCCAAAAGCCTTTGATCAATATACCAATCCTTCCAATGTGTTTAACCTTTAGGACCATAACAGTGGGCTCCCAACACTTGTACTTTTTCCTTTTCTTTTTTACAGCCTTTCACCAAGTCTCTACCCCATCCAACCCCTTCCATTTGAAAAGCTTTATGGTCTGGACTCTCTCCCTCAAAAGATAGGCTTCATAGAAAGCAAAAGAACTGGTGTATATCCCCACTTGTGTGCATGGCATTACACCAGTCAAGTATTTTGGAGTTGTTTGACATGTACTCCTTTAAATCTTGTTCAAAAAGGTGTTATGGCATTACACCAGTCACCAGGAATGCTATCATTTGTGCATTTGGGGTGAGAGAAACACACCATTGTTTGAGCACAAAGAACAGAGCCCACAGAACCTGATTGAACTTATAAAGGTTAAATTGCATTTTGGCACTGATTACTGATGAGTATGAGGGGGTAACAGTGAATGATTTAATGAGAGGGTATAAAATAGCCAAATAGTATCATTGAATTCCTCAAGGTGTTACTAGATTAAATTTTAAAACAAAATTTTGATGGGTGTAGCCTTGGCAGCCCAAGAGCTTCCAGTATTAGGGGAGTGATTAGGAATGAAGAAGGTTGTTGAGAATGCTTGGACAAGGTGTTCTAGTCTTTTCATCATCTTTTGTATTTGGGTACTCAAGTATGGGCTTTCTTGTAATTTTTCTTCCAAGTATAGATAGCTTTTTTGAGGGTGTGAACAGTAACACACACTCCTCTCTTTGATACATTCTTCTTCCTCTTCCTCTCCTTCTTCTTCTTCTCTCTTCTCTTCTACAAACCCTAGAACAACTTGGTATCAAAATGAGGTAGAGGCTCTTAGGAACACTTATTCTACTAATCCTCTCTTGCGAGATGACATGTTGATGTCAGACTACCGTTGGATGGCGTTAATAGTCTGTATAGGTGACGACGACAGTCGATGTCGTCGATGAATCTTACATGATTTTGGTTTGCCTTGATTTTAAAAGTTTTTTGGTACAACTCTTGTGGCTATTTGAAGCTTCTATGATTTTTTGTGGATTTTTCAAGGAGAAAACCACAAAATTCCAGATCTGATGTCGAGCCTCATACAACGAGTTTAAATGGGGTTTTCTGCTGCAAAACCTAGACCATTTGATCGTTTTACATGTTGGGAGTGAAAGGAAGTGGTCCCATAATTTTCTAAGCCCTATACAATTTTTGGGAGATTTTCTTCTCCTTCTATTTTGTTGCCAACCTAGTCTTTTGGCCTCCTCATGTCTCTTAACCGTGTGGTGACCTATTTTCAACTTTTGTTTCCAAATTTGTTTGACTCAGTGTCAAAATTGTGTGTACTCATTGTTAGGATAATATTAATGTGGTGTACTCATTGTCAAAAACCTAGGCACACCCATGAAACCTGTTGCGAATTGAATGGGAAACCGAAATGGGCACAGGAATTGGGTAAGAAATCAGCACAAGAGCCAAGCAAGAAGCCATACCAGAAGAAGTTTACTTCGGCTTACTTAGCAGCTCATGAACATCAGAGTACTTCTTAGGGCTGCCCTCCTTGTTCTGACCCAAAGGAAGATATTATCAATTCCTTCCGTGACCACCTAGAGCAATATGGTAGGGCTCTCCGCAATGCTGATTCTAGACCCACACCTTCTACTTCTTTTGCCTCCTCAGGTAATTCTGCCTTAGCTTTCCATGTGTCTACTGATAACCCGAAATCCCCATGGATCATTGATTATGGTGCATCCAACCACATGACTAGTAAGTCAACCTTGTTTCAAACATATTCTCTTCTCTCAGGCAGAGATAAAGTGAGGATACCAGATGGATCCTTCTCCTCCATTGCTGGTCAAGGGTCTATATCTTTGCCCTTTGGCCTCTCTTTATCTAATGTCCTACATGTTCCAAAATTACCTATTAATTTGTTATCCATTAGTAGTATTACTCATGCTTTGAATTGCTCAGCAACCTTTCTTCCACATTCTTGTGTTTTTCAGGATTTGGCTACCAGGAGGACGATTGGTAGAGGGAACATGGTGGATGGTCTCTATGTGCTAGAGAACAAAGTTGGTCTTACAGTTTTAGAGTCTTTGAGTCTGTCGAATAAGAGTCAAATTATTTTGTGGCACCATCGTTTGGGCCATGTTTCTTTTGAGTCTTTGAAGTTTTTGTTTCCAGAGTTGTTTAAGTCTTTGTCTGTTAGTGATTTTCAGTGTCAAGTGTGCCAACCGAGTAAACATTGTAGAACCTCTTTCCCTTTACGTAATAAAAGATTAGAGTTTCCTTTTCAAATTGTGTATTCAGATGTGTGGGGACCTGTTAATATTCTGACTGAGAATGGTTACAAATATTTTATTTCTTTTGTTGACTTCTCTCGCTACACTTGGATTTACCTTATGCATTCATGGGAGGAAGTTCCTAAACTTGTGAAAGACTTTCAGCGTATGGTTTACACCCAATTTCAATCTGAGATCCGGATCTTCTAATCAGATAATGTCAAGGAATATTTCCATGGAGACCTCACTGATTTCTTTGCCTCCTGTGGCTCTCAACACAGAAGCTCTTGTGCCAAAACCCCACAACAAAATGGGGTTGCAGAAAGGAAAAACTGACATCTCCTTGAAGTTGCTCGAGGATTAATGTTACAGATGAATGTTCCTAAAAGATTTTGGGTGGATGTTGTTCTAACTGCTGCCTATGTCATCAATAGAACACCATCTCGGGTATTGGAATATAGGTCTCCTCATCAGCTCCTTTTCCCTAAAGCTCCTTTGTTTCCTATCCCTATGTGGGTCTTTGGGTGTAAGTGTTTTGTTCATGATCTCTCTCCTACTCGTGGTAAGCTTGATCCCAAAGCTATTGTGTGTATTTTTCTTGGTTATCCGGTATCCCCTTGCTTAGAAAGGATATCGTTGTTTTGACCATGTGTAAAAAAAAATACTGTGTCTCTCTAGATGTCTCTTTCTTTGAAGATGTTCCCTACTTCCCTGTTTCTCCTCAGGGGGAGAGTAGAGTTGAGGAGAAACAGAGTCAGACTCAAATTTTGTTGCCCTCTATTCCTAAGCCTCCTCCATTTCGTGTCTTTCGGAGATTGCGCTACAAAAATCAAGGCCAACAGAGTTCAAAAGCCATAGAGCCATCGGAAACCATGCCACCAATGCCATCAAAATTTCAGGGGCTGGATCCTTCACCCCACCCAGGTACTATTGTTCCAATTGATGTTCCTGAACCTATTGATATTGATACTTCAAGTTGTGATCTAAACCTCCCTATTGCAAAAAGGAAGGGTGCCAGATCATGCACCACAAACCACCCTATATCTCATTTTTTATCTTATGAGAATGTCTCATCTTCCTTTCGTGCTTTTCTATCCTCCATTGATAGTATTCCCCTTCCCAAGAGTGTTGTGGAGGCCTTACTTATTCCTGAGTGGACAAATGCAATGAAAGAAGAGATCAATGCTCTCCACAAGAATGGCATGTGGGAACTGGTAGATCTTCCTAAGGGAAAGGAACCTGTAGGGTGCAAATGGGTCTTCTCTATAAAACATAAGGCAGATGAGTCTGTGGAAAGTTACAAGGCTTGGCTAGTTGCGAAAGGTTTCACACAGGTGCATGGAGTTGATTATGCCGAGACTTTTGCTCCGGTTGCAAAAATGAACTCTATCCGGGTTCTCCTGTCTTTAGCTGCAAATCTTGAATGGGAGCTTCACCAACTTGACATAAAGAATGCCTTCCTGAATGGTGATTTGGAAGAAGAAGTGTATATGACTCAATCCTTTGGTTTCTGTGCTAAGGGAAGTGAACAGAAAGTCTG